GGGAAAGAAGCTTCAGTTTTCAGGCACAGCCTAACTGTGAGGGTCTGGAGGAGCTGGAGCTGATTTGCCATGTGTATGTGTCTGATGGCCTAGGTAATCTCTAGTCATAGTCCTCAAGAGGTCAGCAGTCAGCCTTGCAGAGTAGAAGTCCTTGGGACGTAACCATTTTCATACCCATCCTGATTCAGGGAGAGATCACAGGGATCCATTTCAGTCTGTGGTCTCGTCCCGTCAGCAGAAACTACTCTCACAAGTTGGTCAGAATCAAGCTCAGAGGACAGTCTAGGGAAGAACAGGCTAAAGATGTCAGCAGCTAGTTCCTGGTAATTGGTGTCACTGGCAAGCTCTGTGCAGCTCGCTCGTGGCAGCAATAAACAGGAATAAACTTGAGTTGTTAGAACTGCTAAATGCCCCGTGTGCTCCAAGTTCTGCCCTGGCCCTCTCATAGAGAGGAGTGACCACGAGTGAAAAGCTGAGGGCAGGGATTGTGGCCTTCAGACCTCTCCTTAACCCATCCTTAACCCATTTGGGCTTGTTCAGCCTGGAGAAGAGAAGGCTCCGGGGAGACCTTATAGCACCTTCCAGTGCCTGAAGGGGCTACAAGGAAGCTGGGGAGGACTTTTTACAAGGGCCTGTAGTGGCAGGACAAGGGGTAACAGGTTTAAATTGAAAGTGGGGAGGTTTAGATTGGGTATCAGGAAGAAGTTCTTCCCGGAGAGGGTGGTGAGGCCCTGGGACAGGTTGCCCAGAGAAGCTGTGGATGCCCCATCCCTGGAAGTGTTCAAGGCCAGGCTGGATGAGGCTTTGGATGGGCTTTAAGGTCCCTTCCAACCCAATCCATTCCATGATTCTATGATACTCAAGCCAAGCTCTGTCTGCCTCCTGCTGTTCCTTTACCTTTTCCTAACAGGAATGCACACGTGGCGGATGCCCTGTCCCCCTGGGCCTGCCTTTCCCTGGGTTCAGAGTGTGAGTTAGTCACGTGCTGCAGCTCTGACCGTGATGAGACGGGAGGCTCCTGCTGTGCCACCACACAAAGCACCTTTGTTTGCCTCGCTGGAGGCAGGACTGTAGGGCTCGGGGGGCCAAGAGAGCTGCAGGAGGTGGCCCGGCGCTGGCGTGGGAGAGGGGCACTGGGGGGGCAGCTTTGCTCTCTGTACCGCAGGCGGCGCTCGGGGTGCGATGACCTCATCTCTGATTGCTTGACAGGTTTGTGGGGGAGATAAGCCTTACATTGCCCCGGCGGACCTTGAGCGGAAGCACCAGGATTTCAGAGAGTCAGCTGTCAGGCAGTTCTGCTCCGTGAAGAAGATGGGAGGGGAGGAGTTCTGTCGGCGCTACCAGGAACAGCTGGAAGTGGAGATCGACGAGATCTATGCAAACTTTGTGAAGCACAACGACGGCAAAAACATCTTTTATGCTGCTCGTACCCCTGCCACTCTATTTGCAGTCATGTTTGCCATGTACATCACCTCAGGACTGACTGGGTTCCTTGGGATGAACTCCATAGCTACCCTGTGTAATCTCGTGCTGGGGATGGCTCTTATATCGTTTTGTACTTGGGCATACGTTAAGTACTCTGGGGAATTCAGAGAAGTTGGAACAGCCATTGATCAGATCGCCGAAGCTATATGGGAACAGGTTGGTATCCCGTTTTAATGCAGAATCTTCCTTTCTTGAGCAGTTTCGGTTCGGTGCTGTGAGTTTTAAAAGCCTGTCTAGACCTCCTGGGGAGCGCTTGGTGCTGCCAAGGGGAAAATGAGCGCAGAAGGGTGACCGCTCTCTTCAGCGGGAGGTGCTGCGCACAGGGATGCGAAACAAGCTTAGGGCACTACCGGGAAAGTGTTACTTGAGGGCCGTACTCGGTGCTCGGATCGTAGAGCGGAGGGACTCGTTAAACCTCTTGTTACTCTTTCAGCACCAGGGATTCTGCTTTTAAAGGTAGGTTCAAGGTGACAAACTTGCCCTGTGGATGTGGTGGGTAAACTGTCTCGGGCGGCCCAAGAAACGGGGCAGGTGAGACGCTGCTGCCCTCCCTCGCGTGGCCCGCTGGTGTGACGCGGGGGGTGCTCCTCAGGCCTCGGAGTAGCGGCTGACGCGAGAGGGTGCAGGGCAGGTTCCTTCCTGAAGGGAGACCTGCGCGGTCTGTGACAGCGTCACGGGGTGCAACTGCTCTTTGCAACAAATACTTGCCAGGCAGGTTAACTCCTGCAGGAACAGACGGCGTGGGTGTGAGAGTGCCAGAGCCGGAGGAGAGAGCCGCCTGAATGCAGGTGGCACGGCTGTTAGTAAAGCCGGTGTAGTGAATTCCTTACTGGCTGCAGTGTCGGGAGCATTCCGAGTGTCCGTGTCCGGTGCCGGGAGAAGGGAAGCGCGTTGGTGACGCCGTCACTGGAAAGCAAGGGCTCACTGAACTTCCCCGGGGATGACACGGCGGTGGGTCCACGATCAAACCTGGGGCCTGCGAGCGGGGGCTCTCCTCTGCGTCTGGAAAAGGGCTGTCCAGGGCTCACCGTAGGCGCTGATCTGAGCAACGGGGGGAAGTCCTGAGTGGCACTGGGGTGGAAAAAGTCAGTCTTGGGTGGTAGGAGGAAGATCAGCGTCAGGGTAGTAAACCTTGAGTTCTGCCCCTAACTAGTGATTACAGCTGAGGCACTCCTGTACCGCCCGAGCTTCTTGCTTTGGAGCTTGGGGCTGAATTGCCCAGGAAAAAAGGGGGGAGGGTGCCAGGCGCGTGCAGCACTCGAACGGGGTGTCCCTGCTGCGGGAGGGCGCGAGGTTCGGTTTGGCTGCTCGCCTCCCCTGGGAGGGGGAGAGCGGGGCTCGCGCGGGCGGGAGCGGGCCTTCTGGGGGCTGGAGGAAGGAGCTCTCCGAAGGAGCTTTCCCGGGGGTGTTGCTGTGGTCGGCACCGGTAACGAGCAGAGCGCCTGCGGGTCCCGTCCGGGTCGCTGATGACGTGCCGTGTTCTTGCTGTCATTTTTTCTGAATCTCTGCCTTTTCTCTTCCCTCCTTGCTTCAGAGGAATCCCAGGAAGGTGAGGAGTTTACTGGCCATCAGTTTCTTTTCCTGACCTTGATTGGCTTTCTCGGTTGCCTTCCGCCAGCCGCTTTTCCTAACAGCTGGATTCGTGTTTTAGGTGTTTCCCAAACTCTTTGAAGTCCTTAGACGCCGAACGATTCGCCGTGCTCTTACGTCGGTGCCGCGACAGCGACTCTCCTCCAACAATAACAAGAAGAAAAACTAGCCAGTGTTTTTAACTTTGTTTCTGTCTCTGAAGCGTTGGCACGTGCGCCCGTAGGACAGTAAGCCGGACCGCCTGGGCCGGTCTGCATAAACGCTGTAACCCTACCAGACTGCTGCTGCGCGTAGGGCGTGGAATTGCACATCCCTCTTCTAGGAACTGGGAAGTGGCCGGAGTTCAGTGGAATGCTGCTGTGTAGGGGGGGGTGTCGCTCCCGTTCGTGGCACGTGGCTGACTTAACCTCGTTACCGTAGCAGCAAAACCCATTTCTCTTTCAGTTCATGCCAGTGTTTGTCAGACTTCAGCATTCCGAGTTTGGGTTGGTGTTGTTTTTTTTTTTTTGTTTGTTTTGTTTTCCCTCATTCTTTCAAATCTCATCTCTTTGTATGTTTTCATATTTTATTTTTCCTCAGTTACCTCATTCTTTTTTTTTTTGTTTTGTTTTTGTTGTTTCTTTGCACATGTCTCATTCCACAGGTGTTGAAGCCCGTGAGCGATAATTTGATGGAAGATCATATGAGGCAGTCTGTAAAAAACTCTATCAAAGCAGGCCTGAGCGAGCAGGTGTCTCACCATGCCAGACTAAAGACAGACTGACATTCGTCTCCTCCTCCAGCCCGCCCTCTCGTCCTAGACATGCTTGCTGTACCATGAGAACTCAATAATAAAATGATTAAAACCCAATAAACCAAAGTTTACAATCAGCTGTAGAAGTAGTGTAGTGTGACTGGCTTCGCAGATGGCTGCCATCACCTGGGAAGAGGAAGTTTGTCAGCGCTCTGCTTCCGAGACAAACTGGTACCCTGGAGACCGGTGTGGGGGTGGGTGGGGGTGTTGTCTGTTGTGTGTGTAGTCCTGGTGAACCCTGTGCGTCTGGGGGGGTGTGTGGGGGGTCTGCCCCCAGCGTTTGACGCGCTCCCTGCCTCGTGTGGAGCCCGTCCTCCGCGGGAGGCGGATTCGGGAAGGCGTAACGCTCGGACCCACGTGCCCGGCTCTGCAGCATCTGCCTCGCGCCCCT